ACATAAGCCAGTGCCCACACAGGATGCTGTCATGGCAGGCAGTGGCTTTATCTACCACGTCATAATGCCAACCCTTCCAAGTGCCATCTTAACAGCTAGACCAAAAAACCCAGCCTGAAGAATTTTTCAATTAGAGTCCATACCAAAGATATAATTAAAGAAAGAACAGAATGCAATGAAATAATAGATAATGGGGTTATGTTAATGAATTGCTATTGTTTGGGACTATAACTACATTTCATGGGAATTGCATGCTTTCCTTCCTAACACTGTAAAAGCTTTATGCAATTTTTCCTTCTAAGTAGGAAGTAAACCTTTTAGGCTTTAATTGCATAGTTTCCTCACAGTTTTCATCATTGATGAGTGTATTCTGGGTAAAACCCAGGATGTTGACCGTCCAAGCACCAGTGACCCCGCTGTGAAGGGGAAGGAACTGGAACTCCGTGTATTTTTGAAGCACCAGAGGGCTGGCAGGGATGGCTTCACATTCCACAAAATGTCCTGGCGTCTGTAAGCACCCCAGGTTTCTCTGCAGCACGCTAAGCTCCACCTGGTGCATAGGCTGAGAACTCTGTTAAGAGACCAGGACTGTGTCCAATCAATCAAACTTGCCTTGGACATAGTTCTTCCTGTCAGTGGAGTGTGGATGGGGACTCTAAAGCCTGAGCCAGATTTTTAGTAATATTCTTCTATCTATGAAATATAAAATGTAGTACTTCGATTTTTAGAATTTAAGGAAATAACAGCATATGGAGAAAAGAGGGAAAAATTTAAACAGCAAATTATATGTAAATGAACATATACCTATGAACGTCAATGAATCTCATTCAATTTCTAATCTATTCAAAAAATGTAGAATATAACAATTTTTAAAGATGTAATTATTTACTTGAAATGCAGAGTAACAGAGAGAGAGGGAGAGAGAGAGAACTTGTAGCCATTGGTTCACTCTCCACAAGCCCACAAGGGCAGGACCAGGTTAGGCCAAAGTCAAGGACCAGGAACTCCAGCTCAGCCTCCCATGTGGGCGGCCGGGTCCCAAGGATTGGTCCTTCTCTGTCTTTCCAGGCATAGTGGAAGGAAACCAGGTTGGAAGTGGAGCAGCCAGTACTTAAAGCAGCATCACACACAGGATGCCAGTTCCTCTGGCAGCTTAACTGGCTATGCCACAACACTGGCCCCAATAGTACAAAACTGTTTAAACAATGCAGACCCTGAGGCTCTACATTCTTTACACTTATAAGACTTCATCTAAGTTTATCTGAGACAATCATAAATTTAGAGATTACTAGACAAGTGTTTTTTAAAAAGCAAATTTTACCTATGCTTCCATAGGTAACTAATTAGCCAACACACTTTTAGGTGTGACATCATAGGCCATTCACGATTTACTGAGCATCCGGCAGTGACCTCAATGCTGGGCTCCGTGGCAGGGACTAAATCAGTGTGGGCCACGGTCTCTTAACAGAAGCACAAGGACTGCTAGGACTCACCCCAGTCCTCCATCCCTTCAGCCACTAGGTGAGAAAGATCTGAAGGCCATCATGACAGCAGCTGTGGCCATCCGTCCCGGAGGCTGTTCTTTTCAGTGGTGTCCATGCTCCAACACGCCCGTGAGTCATGCTTACAGGAACTGTTGGAAGCCTCCACAACAATGAACGGATTGCTCCTCGCCAGTTCTGGGGGCCACTTGGTTTCTTCTCCCACATCCCATTTGGGGTCTTTGACCAAGAGGCTTCAGAGCTACACACTGACAGAATACCCAACAATCAAGCAAAATGAACATCTGCGTGAGGGTTGGTACCTTCCCCCTCACTGGGGTTTAAACTCTCCATCCAAGAACAGTTTTTAGACCCACATGTTTTCAAAGCTTCCCTTCCTAGACCTGATCCAAATTTCGTTGTATGTAGCTAATGATAAAACTGCTGATTGCCTTAGCAACACAGTCATTTGCTAAAAGAGGAAATAAACCCTGCCAGGTCCTTCCACTAATTTAGGAAGCATTATTTAAAAGCAATAGATATTAATAGGTAAGAGATTGTAGCAGGAAATATTTCACACCAGTTGACATTCATGATAATGTGTTAGTTTATTTAATAGAAATCTAAAAATTTTGGTACTATTAATCTTCTTTAATATTATCCATTAAAATATAATTTCTGCTCTAAGATCTATAACATGGAATCTAATAAATTTCTAAGTGTTTATATATTCTCACATAATAATTTATGTATGATAAAAGGAAATAAACGATTACTTTGAGGAAGCTCTAACTGTAGACTTGGAAACAATAAAAACAACAGTGTTTCATGGCTGGTGTATGTAAACTAGATAAAAATCTATGTTTAAAATTTTTAAAGAATTTCTGAATCCCTATTGTAGGATCATGGCTAAAGAAGCTTTAGTCTCCTGTGCAGTTATCTATTATTTGCATTCCCTTCTGCATTCCTGTGGAATTCTTGCTTCTTTGATCAGATTCTGTTGGTGATTTTAAGCAAAAAGGAATGGATGAGTCCCCAAAGCTGAACTCGAATAATAAACAGCCAAACACCACGAAAGGAAGCAGAGCTCTAATTTCTGTGCTTCAGTGTGTTGGCCCAAGCTCCCTGCGGCAGCAGCTGGGATGGCCCCTTGGACCAGAGTATGAGTGCACTGAGACTCTAAGGCACAGCGCCAGAGTGCACGTGGTTCCTGGTGCTACAGGCGAGCACGGCAATGCCATTAGGGCTGGCACCTCCAACAGGATCCTCTAAAGGCCCCTGCGCCTCCTTTTCAAAAAGACCGCAATACTGAATCACTAATTCTGTGAGCATTCAAAAATGTAAAACTTGCTTATTTTAGCTTTCCCAACGTATAAGGAATATTACAAAGATAAGTAAGTCAATCTGCTATACTAATATCTATGCGACTTGGAAAAGGTAACAAGTCATCCCCAAATCTGAAGGCCTAGTTATTACTAACAGTTGCTGAACACTCATTCATTCATTCTATGCTTAATATCTATCTGTCCCAGGTCTTAAAGAACAAGTCATCTAAAAAAACAAGTTCTTGCTTTTATGGAGTTTATATTCCAGTAGGCAAACAATCAAGAGTGGAGTAAAACATAAAGCCTGTGTGACAGAAAAGCTGACAGCGAGGGAAGACGTGTGTAGGGGCCCAGTGCAGCAAGGTGAGCAGGACGAGGGAAGGGAGGCAGTTCAGTGAGCCTGGGGGCAGGGCGGCCATTCCCACGTGCTGGTGCTACTCACTGTTGGACGTCACAGTCCCACGACAGGGAAGATCCTTTTATCATGGGCCTTTTAAAGATAAGGTTGAGCTGTAAAAAAGAAAAGAGGCTTGCTTGCCTTTCTGCTTGCAAAGGGTAAGCTAAGGTTTGACTCCACTCTTTCTCATCCCCTTCCTCCCGGATGAGACAGCTACCCAATAAGAGCATTCCTACATGCTCAATTACCGGCAGCTACCTGCTTGATAATCACTGACAACACCGCACCGCAAAGAGTAATTTGTGAGGAAAATGGTAAGTGAAGCTTGGCTTATTAAAATAAATGAGAAAAATTCCTCTCATTCCCTCGGTGAGGGATTCAGAGGGAGGCAGAGCTGATGATAAACCCACGGCTCTCCAGGCACAAAAACCAAGCGTTCAGTGGCTGCTAGGGACACCTGCACCCCACTTCCGGCCCAGCGTCCCACTAAGGCACACCCTGGGCGGCACTAAGTCATGGCTCCATCCTGACGTCCCTGCCACCCACGAGGGAAACCCAGAGGAAGCTCCTGGATCCCGGATTTGGCCCGGCCCAGCCCTGGCTGCTGCAGGGATCTGAGGACTAAACCATCTCTCATTCTCCTTGTCACTCTGTTCTTAAAGAAAGTTTCAGAATACAGTGTTAACACACACACAAGGGGCGCCCAGCTGACCCTAGAGAGGCAGCAGAGTGAGGGAGGCCGGAAGAGGCCCGGAGGGAGACTGCAGGGAAGAGGGAGCGGGCGCAGTGTGTCCCTGGAACCCTGTCATCGCTTGGCCTTCGCTTCACCCTTCTGTCAATTCAGTCTCCGCACCAGAGTCGGGGCACAACTGCACTTCACGCAAGCTGTCATTTACCTAAACACGGGTCCTGCCGGGGTGGTGGGAGGGCAAGAGGGGGGACAGCTTCCAAGCTGCAGCCCGCCTGGGCACCGCCTGGGCACCGCCTGGGCACCGCCTGCCACGCGCCTCGCTCCAGGGCAGCGCTGACCACCACGCTGGGCAGTGCGTGAAGGAGGAGGCCGCAGTCTCCCTTCCCGAGCCGGTGCGGAGGCTGACGGCCACTCGGGCACTGGGGCGGGAGACCGGCAAGCAAGCCGTGCCAAGAGAAGGCCAGGCTTCCCGGTGTCTGCTCGCTGGAAGCCGGGCTCCCAGGCTCCCGCTCGCCCGTGTGGGATATCAGAACTCGGGCCGGACACGGAGCGGCGGCGGGCGCCTCGCGGAGCTGCTCCGCGTGGGCGAGGGGACTGTACTGGTACAGTCTGTGAATCTGCAAGGGAAAACAGAAGCTCTCAAGGAGCACGCACATATGTCTGTGGGACTGCATCTGCGCAAAAAAGTACGCGGCCCTCCAGTTGTACTGAGAGGGAAAAAAACACTTTATTAAAAAAAAAAAAACGTTTACTTCCCACAGCCTCCCTGCCCTCGCCCTGCCTCACCCTCAGCTCGCCCAGAGCCTGACTAACAGGGGCTCCTCAGAGGCCGCCGCCACCGGGCGCACCCGCGTGAGGAGACCTTCGCGTCGCGGCCGCCCGGCACCGCAGCCTCCCCGAGGGCGAAGCCCACGACGTGCGCGACCCCGGCGGGCCGCGCGCTCCCGCTGCCGCCCGGCGCGTGCCCGGCCGCAGCCGCGCCCCCTCGGCCTGCTCCGCGGGGCCGCGCTCTCCCTCACCGGCGCGGGGGCGGGGCCGGGGGCGGGGCCTGGAGGGCGGGGCTTGCACCAGCGCCCCCGGCTCGGCTGCGGCTTCTCCCGCAGGTTGCCCGGCTAGGCGAGCGGCGCGGTCGCCCCCAGCAGCGGCCCCATGGCAGCCCCCGGCACCCCGGCCGAGTGCGGCTACATCCGCACGGTCCTGGGCCAGCAGATCCTGGGACAACTGGACAGCTCCAGCCTGGCCCTGCCCTCCGAGGCCAAGCTGAAACTGGCGGGCAGCAGCGGCCGCGGCGGCCAGGCGGCCAAGAGCCTGCGGATCCAGGAACAGGTGCAGCAGACCCTGGCACGGAAGGGCCGGAGCTTCGTGGCCAACGGTGAGTGGAGCCCTCAGCCTCTGCGCCGCCCGCCGCCACCCCTGGCTCTCCCTCGCCGCCCGCCTCGCGGCTTCCTGGGGGTGCTGGCCCCGGTGTGCTGCCCACCTGTTGCTCGCCGTCCCTCCGTGTGTCCGGTCGTACCTGCACACTGACCGGCTCACTGGGGTGCCGCCGTCTCTCCGTGGTCTCGCACTCGGTGTGTGTGAGAGAGAGAGAGAGAGAGAAATATCCAGGATTCCACTCCCGCCCACCCAGCCCCGCTGATTGCAGGGGAGCCTAACCTAGAGGTTCAGGAAGAGGAGTCTGTGAAAACTTTGAATTTGCGCGCAGAATCGCTTCTCGGCCTTTTGGCTAAGCTCAAGTGAAATTGTGTGCAGAATTTTCTTGGTGTCCATGAGAAAGTGCCCTTGGTGTTTATGAGCTGTTTGAAGAGTCAACGATAGCCATAATTTTATAAAAAGAAAACCTGAAAGCCTTAGCGCTCCTATAACCTGTAAATTGAGGTTGGGTAGCCTCGCCCAGGTACTTTGGGGTGCTCCACCCAGTGTACCCAGAGAGCGGCTCATGTAGGAAGTGAACAAATTGGGCTGGAGGCTTTGGGCCAGGGAGCAAGCACACCACCTCGCGGAGGAGGAGAAGGAGGAAGGGGACTTTGGCCCGGCTGGCAGCACCAGTCCGCCCAGCTGCGCCCAGCTCCCAAGCCCTGGCTGCCCCCCTCTCCCTGGGCCAGCCCAGATTGTAGGCATGGGCACAAGTTAGATGTCTCAAAAAAAAGGTGCAACCCAGAGGCGCAAGAGTTTGCACACACAAACGCACACACTCCTTTAACGGATACTCCAACGAAGTGGAAAGATAGCAATGCAGTCATTAAAATGGAACAGCACCGTGTGTCCTTTAATTCTTGATCTAGTTGTTGCGTGGTGTGCCCCTGTTTGACTCTTCCTTTAGAAGTATTATGGGGTTTACTGCAGAGGGGAGGAAAGACATTGAACCTGTCAGTGTGCAAGGAACTTTGAGGAAAAAAGGAAAGCTTTCGCAGGTCAGACTACCGATTGAAAACCACCGGAGCCTGGCGTTTGCAATTTGTGTAGAAATCAAGTGAGTTCTCACTCTGCCAGGAATCGGGTGTCGTGGTTTCCATCCACAATGTTGTTTATATCAAGAACGTGTGCACAAACTTGTGAGCTAGGTATTTTGATGAAAGATTTATCTGTTTGAAAGTACGTTGAGAGGAGACATGACAGAGATCTTCCTTGCCCCGCCTCGCTCCCTGACGGCTCAGCACTGAGTTGGCGCCTGAATGGGATACTGGCTTCACGGCTGGTGGCTTTACCTGCTAAGCCACAATGCTGCCGTCCCTGAGACGGGCATTTTAATTCCTGTTTCACAGATGAGGAAACTAAGCAGCTAAGTAACATTCAAGTTGCCACAGATAGTAAGTGGCAGAGCTGAACTTAAAAACTCCCAAAGCTGAGTTTTTAAGCCAGTGGTCAGTTATATCATTGAACGTTGTGGTTTTTATTACAGAGGTGTGACTTCTTAGACCTCCAGCCTCCCCGTGGCCCCTTCCATTCTCTAAACAAAGTCAGGGCAGATGGAGAGGGTGGGAGGTCTTGACAATGCGGAACAGCCACTGCCCTGGGGGAAATGATCCTAAATTTGGGTCTAGGAATCTGGCAGTGGACTCCAGGCTAGTGAGTCTAGCCTGGGGTCAGTGGAGTCATCGCACATGTCAACCCTGAGCACCCAGAGGACTAACCAGAAACCAGAACAGCGTGGAAGACCCACAGGCTGTGGGGGGAGGTATTCTCTCCTGGGCTCGGACAGTGGCCAGCCAGGAAGAGCAGCTGGACAGGGCTGCTCAGTGAGTGGCAAACGGAGCTGGGAGCACCTGGGAGGGGAGTACTGGTGACCTCGGCTGTGTGTTGCCCTGGATTGAAGAATCTCCATGTGTCTGCATTACACAGTTACTGGGTGGGGGGAGCACATGTCTGTCTGTCAGCATTTGTTGCTTAGACCCAACCTCACACAAGGCCTGTCCTCTCTGCAGGGTAACAGATCTGCTGCCCGATGAATTCAGCCACCGTCAAAAGAGTCTGTTCTCTGTGCAGGGCACATTGTGGGGTGAATTAAACACATACTCGGCTTCCTTGCAGCCAAGAACTTGACAGGTGCAAGAAGGAAGCCTCCCGCTAGAAAAACCCATCCCTTACTACAAAAGAATAAATAACTCAAAAGAACACTAACTCATTCTACGGTTCAGGAGTATTAAGTTACCACTGGCTGATGGGAATTTGGGGAAGCCACATGGAAGAACTGGCCAGTCAGGTCTCAACAATTCAGTAGGATTGGCCCCAGGGAGGAGGCTGGAGAAAGAACATTCTAGTAGGGACAGCATGAATATTTTATGGTTCATAGAGTTCAAGCTGAGAGAACAGGGGCGCTGTCTCCAGCCTTCTGCTCTCATGCTTAGGGCAACTGCTTGAATGACGCCCCCAGCAAGGAACAAAGCGCTGGAAATATTTTGATGACAACAGCAGCTTCCCCCAGCAAGCTGCAGTGCACTCAGCAGCCTACACAGGAGTGCAGACCCAGCGGAGAGATAAGGCAGCACACCCACCTACTTGAAAGCCTCTGCTTTCCAAGGCTTGGAAGGAAGTTAACGTGAACACGCTATACAATTACCAGGGGTGGTTAGTATTCGTTGCTTAATTCAAGTTCTTTGGAATAGTCCAGGGCTTTGCGATGGTTGTGTCTGTTGTGTTTATTATTTCCGTATTACTATCCTGTCTCTGTAAAGTTGAAACAGGCAGGCAATTGTTGAAACATTGCTGGCCTGGAAAGGCTCCTGTATCAACACAAATCAGGGAAGAGCCGACCCTGGAGAATTCTGAATTGTTGACATACCTATGGGTTAAGGCAGCACGTAATCTGTGAAACCCAAAGATAAATGTGGCTGATTGTTGATCCGCACAGTGCCAGGTCTTCAAGCCCTCTGACCAGCTTCCTTCTAATGTCTGTAGTGGGGGGCGAAGACAGGGTTTCATCCTTAGTAATTTTTTAAATTCCTTTAACTCGCTTGGACGGCAGCACTGTGAAATGACACGTATTGTGGTGATTTTTTTGAGTCCTTTTCTAAAAATCACAGTCAAGACATACATGCAAGCATTGTTAAGTATTAGCAAAGGGAGAAATGGGGTGCCCATCTCCGCTTGCCTGTTTTCCTCAGCTGCCTAAGTCACATTTTAATTTGTGATATACAGTGCTGAACAGCACACGGTAAAGGCTGTCAGCGTGCGTTTACAGCTTTTTTGGAAACCTACCCTCAAAACCCGCACACTGTTCACTTAGCTGGAAGCAGCTTGGATCACTGGATTTTGGAGAGAGAACTCTGAATTCTGGAGCGTTGCTTTGGAGTAACACAAAGGCAGTCCCTAGGTGATAATGGGGAAGGGGAGGCAGGCAGAGACTGAACTGTGTGAACTGATTTGCCAAAGAGGAATTCCAGGAATGAGGCAGTTCTGCGAGCTGGCGGACCAGTCACCAAGGATGTAGGAGGGATCAGGAGAGGGGCATCAGACCCTGGCCTTACTGCCTGTGGTAAGGACCTGCGACATCCCCACGTCCGCCAGCCAGGGCCACCCCATGTTCCACGTGTAGCAGAATGGGTGCAGTTAGTCAAGAAACAAAAAGTATGTGTTTTTGTTTTGCTTGAGATACTTGAGTGTAATCCATCAAAACAAACAGGCAGGTAACAAAAGGGTGATTTGGAGAAATAAGCCTTACACTCTCAGAAATGGTGAGGATATTGAAGGGGGCTTCCAGAGTTTTGCAGATGAGATTGTTGGAATCCCCGGAGAGTGGCTCCACAGGGCATGCTCTCCGTCTGCCACGGGTGAGGCTGTGTTGTGGGAGCTTTGGGGTCAGTGGAATTAGAAGAGCCTCAAGGACCCCCAGAGAAGCAGAACTGATGCAAGGTTAGTGTTGCTTAGGTCACAGACAGGACGGAAGAAGTCGTGGCATTCAAAGGAGACAGATCACTCTGGTTAATTTCTGAAGCCGCCCCACGCTGGCTGTGCCCCTGGCCACTGCTGGCTGCTGGCCCGGGTCCCTGGCACAGAGGGTACCTCACTTGAGTGAGATATTCTTGGCTCATTCTCCTACACTGTCAGTTTCCATATAGGCTTGAAAAGGTTTTTTTTCCCCCTTGGGCTTAAAATAAGGCCATATACATTCTGACTTTATTGTGTCTCCAGATAGAATGGTGTCAATCTTACAATGAAATTGAATTTCTAACCTGGCCAATCCATATTATTTAAAATGTTGATGTTTTTCTTCCCTGAGAGAAGTAACACATTATTGGCAATCTATCTGATCATAAGGACATATGAAAAGAAATGTGATTTAAAAGCCTCAAGCTTATGAATCACAGTTGATTCATGTGGTCTACATTTATTTCCATTTTGTATAAGGCACAAAAGCTTTAAATTATATAATCTGAAGACTAATATTGGACTCGTTATTTTGTGTATTGTCTACAAGTGTCTGAATATCATACTACCCTTTTGTAAGTAAGAAACATTAAAAAGTGGAGACAATAAATTAGGGGAAAACAATCTTTCTTTAAAAATTATTTATTTGAAAGGCAGAGTTACAGAGAAAGAGAGAGAGAGAGAGGAAATCTTCTATGTGCTGGTTCATTCTCCTGACGGCCCCAATAGTATGGGCCAGTTCCAAAGCCTAGAGCCAGATGTTCTCCCAAATCTCCATGTCGGTGCAGGGGCCCAAGCATGCAGGCCATCTCCCAAATCTCCATGTCGGTGCAGGGGCCCAAGCATGCAGGCCATCTCCCAAATCTCCATGTCGGTGCAGGGCCCAAGCATGCAGGCCATCTTGCACTGCTTCCCCAGCCACCCTGTTAAGGAGCTGGAGCAGAAATGGAGCATCTGGATCTTGCGCTGGCACCCTTAGGGGATGCCATGCCAGCACTGCAGGCTGAA